CAAGGAGGTCTCTAAGTAGGGACCAAGGCAGGGAGGTCCAGAGCATCCTCAGCTTGAGGTGCAGCATGTACAGAAAATCTCAAAGGAGGCATTAGAGTAATGAGAACTAGAACATATCCAGATCTTAACTTTTTATGGGATTATTTTTAAAAGAGAAAAGAATCCTGACCAGTTTTACTCAGTGGTTATAGTGTCAGCCCCAGGACCCAAGGGTCTAGGGTTCAATTACAAGTCAAAGGCACATACTTCGGTTGCAGGTTCCCCAGCCCCAGTAGGGGCACATGCAGGAGGCAACCAATTGGTGTGTCTCTTTCATGTTGATGGCTCTCTCTCTCTCTCTCTCTCTTCCTCTCCTCCTCTTCCTCTTCCTCCTCCTCCTCCCACCCTTCCACTCTCTCTAGAAATCAATGGAAAGAATATCCTCAGGTGAGGATTAAAAAAAGAGAGAGATAAAAATCAAATAGAAACACCAATCAGAAAGGATATATGCACCCCTATGTTCATAGCAGCACAATTTACAATAGCTAAGATCTGGAAACAGCCTAAGTGCCCATCAGCAGATGAATGGATTAGAAAACTGTGGTACATCTACACCATGGAATACTGTAAAAAAGAAGGAATTCTTACCATTTGCAACAGCATGGATGGAACTGGAGAGCATGTGGGACCTCCTAAAGGCATAACCCTATGCTAAGTGAAATAAGCCAATCAATGAAAGAAAAATACCACATGATCTCACTCATTTATGGATAATTAAGACCATTATAAACTGATGAACAAAAATAGATACAGAGGCAGAGCAACATCGAACAGACTGTCAAATTACAGCGGGAAAGACGGGGAGGGTTGGGGGGTATGGGAGGCTAGGGGAAGGTCAAGGGGAGGAAAAATAAAGGAGACATATATAATACTCTTTGTAATACTTTAAGCAATAAAACAATTAAAAAAAAGAAAAAGAAAAGAAAAAAAATCAAATACCGGGTGCCAGTAACAACGAATTTTATAACCATTATAGTCACCTGGAAGCATAAAAAAATGTCCAAAGTATGTCCAGCTCACTAGGAAGTGTCTGTGCGCATGGGAGAGGGCAATGGGGCTTGGTAGAGCTGACAATCCAATAGGATTCCTATGGAAACAGAAGGGGCAGAGTCCTGGTTTGCTGGCCTACTGAAGGCTGGACGGAGTAGAAGAACCAAAAGCTCCGAACTACAGATTCTCTGCAATCGGCTTTGACACAGGGAAAGAAGAGCCAGATTCTCACTCTAGAGATGGGGAGGGGGGGCCAGATCTAACCCACACCACATGCATTAGTCCTGGTCATCCTACAGCTGATGGGCAACTCATTCCCATCAGGGGAAAGGAGCTAGTTAGGGGAAAAGGGGTCACTTTTCATCTTTTAAAGTCTTCATTTATATTTTAACCTCAAATGTATTATCAGTGTCTCAGATTCAATTTAATCTTAAGTCTTTAAAAGCTCCCTGAAACAAAACCATACTTTTTTTAAAGTTCCTTCACTTCTGGTAGTTTTCCCTCTGTCCCCAGTTTTGCCCTTAGAATTACAAACTTTATCAAACCATCAGCGCTCATGGACTTGGGCCTCTCTAGAGGGAAGCCTAGAGACTGGCTCCAGATGAGCTGTGCCAGTGCATCCAATGCTCATGACACCCCAAACAGTACTGCGTAGTACTCTTCTCTGTCATGCCATCATACTAGAGCATCATCTACATTGGGCCAAGGGTTCTTGGCCTTCATCTGCTCTAAGAGGACACTGGGCACCACCTTGTACAGCTGAGCAAGCAACTTACACATGGGGTCATGAGGCAGGTGTTTCAGAGCAGACTCTCGCTGACACATGTATCAGGATCAGTCTTCCTTAGTAGTGCATGGCCATAGCCTGGGACAACCCATCCTGAATTGAGTGTGTTCCAGATGTAGTCTCATCTGACACACCTTTGCCAACTTCCTTTTGTAGATGCGTCAGCCAAACAAGCACTTCCTGATTTGCCAGTCCATGCAGGGTCTTTGCCGGCCCGTTCATGGCTGCTGCGAAGGACAGGTAGGGATCTGAAAGGGCACTGCCTGTAAGTGTGGTGATATGAGCACCTACACTGCCACCTTCATGGTCACTGTGGGTGGTGAGGTACAAGCACATGAGCTCAGTAAACTGAGCATAGGCATAGCCTAACATGTTGGTGAAATTGTGGGACCAGTCTAGCTTAGTCAATGGCCCAGTAATTCTGCCTCCCAGTACAGATTCCAGCAGATCTTTGCAGCAACACAAGGTAGTGTTGCAATCAGATCCACACAGTTTTTGTAAATCAGAATCAATAATTGGTTCTGTTGACACCCTCTGCATATGCTCAGGCAGTTACTTCCACTGCTGAGGGCTGTAATGACTGCACGGAGCTGAGGCATGGGGTGTAGATTAGTGGGAATGTCGTCCAGCATGGTGACCATATGGGGAGGTTGAGCTGCCCTCTTTGTCCCCTCTTTCGAAGCCAAGATACCTGTTCCTCTACTGGGATTGGCCCAGTTACCAGCAGCCAAAATAAGCCCTCCTGCAGGGGTTCTTCCCCACCCCCACCCTTAGCCTGGGACAGCAGTTTCTGGCATTCAGGGATACTGTAGCCTCAGAAAAGGATCAAGAACTGATGTTTCCTATACCAGTTCTATCATGCCTCTCATGCCACTAGACATCCTGTCCACAGTAATCTGACCACCACTGTCTGCCTTGCTCCTTATATATCAGAACAGCCAACAGGTCTTTCAAATTCATGCCTTGCAGCAAAAAGAAGACAGGATATATTCTTGGCTCCAGGCAGAGAGGGGGAGAGAGCTGCTGCAGAAATGAGAGCAGCTGCTGGTGAATGAGGTTCTTGATTAGTTTAATTAGATATAATTAACTACATAATCTAGTTAATTAACAACCTGGAACTAAAATTCTAAACTACTTTAGCAAATGCAGGAAATGGGGTGGATGTGACAGAAAAGAGATAGGGAAGCAGAAATATGTTAAAGGTCTCATCTCAGAGGGGTGGAGGAGAATGACCAAAACGCCAATTTCAATAATAAGGGAGAAGAGTTATTAATGTAATGCTATTTAAAATTTTTATGGTTAATTGTCAAATGTAACTGAAAAATAAATTTTAAAAATTTTAATTTGCTGGTTACCAACTCAGAAAAAACATAGGTATAATTTAAAGATAAATTATTACCAACAACTGCCGAGACCGGTTTGGCTCAGTGGATAGAGCGTCGGCCTGCGGGCTGGGGGGTCCCAGGTTCGATTCCGGTCAGGGGCGTGTACCTGGGTTGCGGGCACATCTCCCGGTGGGAGATGTGCGGGAGGCAGCTGATCGATGCTTCTCGCTCATTGATGTTTCTGGCTCTCTACCTTTCTCCCTTCCTCTCTGTAAAAAATCAATAAAATATATTAAAAAAAAATTATTACCAACAGAATGAAGTTAAATAGCAATACTTCCAAATTAACAGGGGGAAAAGGCAGAAAAGAGACAATAAATCCCACAAAAGAAAATGAACAAGGTATAATAAAATGTTAAGTAGAAGAAAATCCAAACACCACAGTTACCCCATCTGAAAACGAAGCGTTTCAGTTTGAGTTTAAAGAGATACAAAAGCCTGCCTTGCAGTTCATAGGAGACATACCTACAACTAAATGAGAAAAGACCATGGAGTGGGAACAGAGTGGCACTATTAACATCAAGAAAAGTAGAATTCCAGATGAAAGAGAAAAGTGTCCTTGCCCTTTCTGTCTGTCTGATTGTGGCAAACAAGACTGAATGGGGAAATACAGGAGAAAAAAAATAAAAAGAAGAAAAGCAGAATTCAAGACCAAAGGCAATAAGAGGGGATGCTGTTTAAAAATGAAGCTGTAAAGAACCTACAAGTCAGGGAGCCCTGCTGCCTGGGACCACAGGTCAGCAAAACACATATAAAAAATGCTTAGAAAGACAAGAAGACACTTTTAAAACCACGCCTACCCTGGGAGACTGGAACGCTCCTCTTCCCACGCTGGCATATTAAGTAAACAAAAAATAAGCAAGGACAGAGAAAAGCTGAGTTAACTTTTAAAAGCCATTAACCTGTTCTTAACATTTACAGAATGTTTTACTTTGAAGGAACATACTACCTTCATTTATGTACATAAAGTATAAGCAAAGGTCAATTGTGTGTTCAGCTGCAAATCTCAATGCCAAAAGTAGAAAATGTACAAGCTTTGATCATAATACTGACCATCCTATATAATAAAGAGGTAATATGCAAATTAACCCTCACACCCTCACAAGATGGCTGACTATGACCAGGCCGGCCAGACTTCTGCTTAGGCCCACTCCCCAAGGGGAGCAGGGAGCAGGTAGTAGGACATCCCCTAGGGCTCCCAGTATGTGATAGGGGGCAAGCTGGGCTGAGGGGACCACCCCACCCCTGCACGACTTTCATGCACCTGGCATCTAATAACCCAATAAAAATGATGACCCAGGCTGGCAGGGGGGCTGTGAGGGGCGACCAGGCCAGCAGAGAAGGGCAGTTGGGGGCGACCTGGCTGGCAGGGTGGGCAGTAAGCAGCAACCAGGCTGGCAGAGGGGGCAGTTACGGATGACCAGGCTGGCAGGGTGGGCAGGAAGAAGCGACCAGGCCAGCAGAGGGGGCAGTTAAGGGTGACCAGGCAGGCAGGCAGGTGAGCAAGATTTGTGGGCTCAATCCCCAATGGGGGGCATGCAGGAGGCAGCCAATCAATGATTCTCTCCCATCATTGATGTTTCTATCTCTCTCTCCCTCTCCCTTTCTGACTCTCTCTTAAAAAAAAAATCAATAAAACATATTAAAAAAAAATGATGACCAAACACTCAACCATTTGGACAATTAGGAAACACTCATTTGAGGGGGGAGGGGATGGTTAATCATCACCCAAGAATATTTTTCCATTGATTTTTCAGAGAGTGGAAGGGAGGGGGAGAGACACACAGAGAGAAACATGGATGTGTCACACTAATTGGTTGCCTCCCACGTGCACCCCGACCAGGGCCTGGGATGGAGCTTGCAATTGGGGTACATGCCTTTGACCAGAATCGAACCCAGAACCATTCAGTCTGTGAGCTGATGCTCTATCCACTGAACAAAACTGGCCAGGACAGGAAACACTCTTACATATAGAATATATAAAACTAACATTATTTGAAAGACCAACAATGTAGATAAAACTCTGGCAAGCCTAATTAAGAAAAAGGGGGTTGGGAGACAAAGTAATATATAAAACACAAAAAATAAGAAGGGAGACATAACTTGACAAGACTTTAAAAGTAAGAGAATTATATGTGTTAACTCCATGACACATCTGAAAACCTAGGGGTGAGCTCTGTTAGTGGAAGAGCATTTAAATTCCCCTAGTTGGAGACCATTTCAGAAATCAGCCCTGAGCCAGCTTCAGGCAATGAGAGGTTTGCTGGGGGTTTCTGAGAAAGCTCTCCTTCTCAGGACGTTCAGAAAGAACCCTCTCTCTTCCTCTTTCCTCTTCCTTTGTGGACATAAGGTCTGGGACTGCCGAGCCTCTTGCTGCTGGTCGAAGGACAAAACCAACACGTGGAAAAGTCCAAAGACAGGAGAATCAGAAGACCCTCAAGCCAAAAGCTGGAAACTGAGTAGACGCCAAAGTCCACTCTCCCTCTGAACTTCCAATTATGTGAACCAAAAAAATCTCCTCCCACTTTAAGCCAGCTTGAGTTATTGTTACAGTCCAAAGATCCTACTGTCCGACATCATACCACAAATAAAGACTAGAGTTCTGAGCATAAAAAAAATAAATAAGAGACTTTAGAAAATAGAAAAGCAGTGTGATTTGGGTAGAAGAGGCCTTCTTTAGCAAGAGGGGTCAACTTAAAAGTTATCAAGAAAAATATGGACTTATCGAGGTGATCACTTGGTAAGTTATATAAATGTCAAATTACTATGTTGTACACCAGAAACTAATACAATATTCTATGCTAACTGTAATTGAAAAATTAAAAAGCATTTTAAAAAATACTGACACTGACTACATAAAAATTAAAAATCCTGAATGCCCACAGGCACGTTGTGTCAAAGGGCACAGACAGGAAACCATACTGGGACCACACATCACAAAGGCTAATACACAATATCCAAAAGCTCCTACAAAGTGATCAAAAGCACACAAACAATCCAACGCTAGTAAGAATTCAGCACAGTGAGCAAGCACCTTTGCAAGGCCTTAAGAATGGTCCACAGGAAGAATGCTCATTCCCTTTGACCAGCAATGACCCCTCTGGATGTGTACAGTAAGGAAATAACCCTGAACATGCAGAGAGTTTTACGAACTAAGGTAGACTCAACATTAATAGATTAAGAACTGGGACGATTCTGTCCCTAAATTCAGAGGGCACTCATCAAGCTGTCCAATGTTCTTCAGAGACCTCCACCCTGTAGGACCATGTTTGTTGGGAAGATCTCCCCTTCGCTAAGCTGACCCAGGATGTGACCCTTCCTTTCCGGGTGCAGACCACAGTCTACTTTCTATGACAAATAGACAGAAAAGTGTCTTCTTTCTCCTAGGATGCTGACTGCCGGAGAGCAGGTTGGACAGCCACCTGAGTGTGCCCAGAGAGTGTGCCATACCCTGGCGGCCATGTTAATACTGCAGACCCCATAGAGACGAAGACAGACACAGCCCACAGCCCACTCCACCACACCATTACCTTGGAATGGGGTCCCTCCAGTCACCCCTCTTGTTTGCTTTCTTTGCTCTGGAGAATTCATTCACCCAAATGCTGCCAAACAGACCAAAGCTGACCTGCAGCCACCTCTCAGCACCTCCTGCTGGGCTGACTCCCCCCAAACACTCAGAACCATTGTCTCCACTGTCGGACTGGGGAGACTGGTCTGAGATCTTCCGGCTGTCGGGACCCAAGGTCTGCTTTTGGTCCCCAGCCTCTTTCTTCCTCTCTCCTTTTCCTAGAGGTTCTGGCAGTGGGTTGTTGCTGGGAGACTTGGTTTCTTCATCTGGATCAAATCTAAGGAATAATTTCTTTCCATGGACCTAGAAAAAAATAACATGATCTAAGCCTTTGCTTATAGATGTGTTTGTATACCATCCCCTCCCCCCCGAAATTCCTATGTTTAAACTGTAACTTGCAATGGGATGGTATCTGGAGGTGGAGCCTCTGGAAGGTGATTAGGTCTTGAGGGTGGAGCCTTCATGAATAGGATTACTGCCCTTGTCCCTTCCACCATGTGAGAACACAGGGAGATGACCATCTATAAGCCAGGCAACTGAATCTGCCAGCACCTTGATCTGGAATTTCCAGCCTCCAGAACTGAGAAATAAATTTCTGGATTTGTAAGCCACCCAGTCTGTAGTATTCTGTTACAGCAGCACAGACAGACAGAGGCTTACAGACCCAGAATGGGGAAGACTAGAAGAGGTGGATGAGCCATGGTAACATGAACCGACAAGAATGGGGGCAGAGTTGGAAGATAAAGGAAGACTTGCTCAAGCAGGGGAGCAGCATGGCAAAGAATGGGCAAGGAGAACTGTTAGAGGAGCTCCAGAACTTTCAATATGATTGGAAGAGAGATCTGGGGCAGGGGCAGAAGTGTGCTAGAGAGGGAGGCACGAGTCAGACCTCAAGGGAATTCTGACTTACACTCAGGGCAAAGGTGAGCAGGTTGGAAACGACATCAGAAGGTTATGCTCTTTCCTTACATCCTTTCTGGCCTGTGGGACTAAACATGGCTCCCAACCAAAGGTGCACATCAGAGTCAGCTGAAGTGATCAGTCTCCAGCTTGTGTATTTTTTATAGTTCCATGTGCCACTGTAAAGCCCACTTCTGGCTGAGAAATAGCAGACTGAAAGAGGAGCTGCATGGAGTCCTAGCATGGTTGTCTTGGGCTCAAGGAAGTGATGGCGTGGAAAGTGCCGAGACAAATTCTAGGGGCGGCATAGGATATGCTGAGGGAGGCGGTCCACCTGTGGGAGGTATGACCACCAGACGATGATGGACTCACCTGGGTGTCCTGGAGCCACAGGGACTGGAAGCTGGCAGGGTTTAGCTTCTTACTGCTGCCCCCTGTCTTGACCACCTGCTGCCCCACAAAGGGGGAGGTCAAATGGTGAAACTTCCTCACTGATGGCCCTTCTGGCATCCCTGCAGGCGGAAATGATGTAGCTAGTTTCTCTCGAGCACAGTGATGGTGAACCTTTTGAGCTCGGCGTGTCAGCATTTTGAAAAACCCTAACTTAACTCTGGTGCTGTGTCACATATAGAAATTCTTTGATATTTGCAACCATAGTAAAACAAAGACATATTTTTGATATTTATTTTATATATTTAAACGCCATTTAATAAAGAAAAATCAACCAAAAAAATGAGTTCGTGTGTCACCTCTGACACGCGTGTCATAGGTTCGCCATCACTGCTCTAGCATCTCTGCTGGGTGTCAAGCTCTGAGCTTTCAAGCAGCTATTTTTTTGCCACCAACTTTTAACAGTATATATGACCAAAAAGGGAGCGTGGCTTGGGAGGAGGGTCAGATCAAAGAGCCGAACCAGCTGAGCCAGCTTCCCAGGAAGGGTCTCTCCTTCCAGCTCCTCTCCCCCTTCTTCATGTGGCAAACAATTAAGCACCTACAGAGTGCTAGACAGCACTTCAGGGTACCCTCTAATTTGGTCCTGTGGCAGCTTGAACAGGAGCGGACCCTTGTTTCCTTTTGCCTGGACTGTGACCTCTTACTCATCTCCACACTATCTCTGTCCTCTCCTTCCTCCCCCAAAACCAATCCAACCCACTGCTGCTGATGCATTCCCCCCTCCTTTTTTCAGGAAAGAGATGGTCACTCTAGGGAAAGCTGTAAGGGGCACAAAGACACAGATGTGGATTGAGCCCTCCCAGGAGCCCCTCACAATTAAGGGTGCTGTGTATGTGACAACCACAGTGCAGAGCTCAGAATCAGGACAAGTGCAGACACAGGGTCACGTGGGTTCAGAGCAGGGAGGGGTCACTTCCAGCTTAACTACAAATATTTATCCCTGGTAATGGATAAACAGCTGGGGTTCCATTTTAACCCTGAATCAAAGCCCTGCCCCAAATCATCCAAGTTCACTGAGAGCTTGTGTAGGAAGCATTCAGATGTTTGAGTCTGAGAGGTCTGCACCCCAGCTTCTCAGACACAGGAGTACCGCCCCCTATCCCCCTACCCAGGACACGCTATGTAACTGCCTGTTTCCTCGCCTGCACAGGGACTCTATACGTAAGGATGAAAATCCAAAACTCCAAGTGGGTACCTGGCATGGTGGTAGCTAGTGTATTTCAGCAATTCTAAAAAACATTTTAAAATCCCTGAAATGGGGATGCCTCTTACAAGCCATGCTTTCTCATAGCTTAATTAGTAGTGCATTCAATAATGTGCTCTTTAAATCTGATGGTGCCTGAGAGTCACTAAAATGTAGTAATATTCCCCTAATCAGACCTTCAAGACACTCAAGAGTCTATAGCAGCAGTTCTCAACCTGTGGGTCGCAACCCTTTGGGGGTCAAACGACCCTTTCACAGGGGTCGCCTGAGACCATCGGAAAAACACATATATTAATTACATATTGTATTTGTGATTAATCATTATGCTTTAATTATATTCAATTTGTAACAATGAAAATACATCCTGCATATCAGATATTTACATTACAATTCATAACAGTGGGCTTACAGGTCCCTGTAAAGACTCTTAGTTTTAATTTGCGTGAAATGGAAAGCTACTGGAGAGTTTTAAGCAGAGCAGTAACAGGATCTGACATGGATTAAAAGGATCACTCTCACCCTAACCGATTTGGGCTCAGTGGATAGTGTGTCAGCCTGTGGACTGAAGGGTCCCAGGTTTGATTCCGGTCAAGGGCACAAGCTCGGGTTGTGGGCTAGATCCCCCATTGTGGGGCGTGCAGGAGGCAGCCAGCCAATTATTCTCTCTCATCACTGATGTTTCTATCTCTCTCTCTCCCCCCCTCTCCCTTCCTGAAATCAATAAAATAAATTTAAAACAAACAAACAAACTGGATACTTGCAGCTGCCCTTACCCTCTGCTAGCTCTCTGTGCCCAGGTCATTTCCAGAGGAGGAAGCTTCTGGAAAAGCCTCCCTCAGACATGCACCTAATCCTTAAAGTCCCTAGACCCAGGGCATGTTTAAGTATATTTTTGGAGATGGAAAACTGAGCAGCAAATTGCCTCTACCATAGTCTTAAACGATTAAAATGAGAAGGGGCACTTTTTTTTAACCCTCACTGGAGGATATTTTTCCATTGATTTTTAGAGAGTGGAAGGGAGGGAGGAAGAGAGAAACACTGATGTGAGAGACACAAGGATAAGTTGCCTCCAGCACGCCCTCCACTGGGGTCCAACGAGCCTGCAACTCGGGTCTGTGCCCTTGACCAGAATCTAACCAGAACCAGCGACCCTTCAGGCCGAGGACCACGCTCTGTCCACTGAGCCCAAGCTGCGGGCAGGACGCAGACTGACCGGAAACCACGCCTGCCCTCAAGGCCCCTCAAGGCCCGGCTAAGGGCTCGCAGCGGACCCACTGAACCAGGGGAGAGGAGCGTCACCGTCCTCCTGCTCTCGAGGGAAATCGCTCCCTCCCGTGGGGAGCCACAAAGGAGGCTCTCCCCAACTTTCTCCAGGTGAGGGGCTCAGAGGTGGGCGCAGGAACCAGACTGAAAGGCCCTGAGGACCCTCTGAGAGGAAATGCTGGGAGACGCGGTGGTAAGGAGGCCCCCGAAAAAAGAAATTCGGCCAGGGGTGCGGGTTCCATGGGGACGCTGCTAAAAGTTTCGTAATTCGAGTTTTTCCGCTGATAACAAAGTGACGACAACGCGCACGGGCGGCGGCAAAGCTCGGGGGGGGCCCCTCTCCGCGCACCTCC